CCACCCCCCACCCCACCCCTATGAAGCCTGAAGTCAACAGAAGGACTAATGATAACTGTCGAAGCGCTTGCCATTTGATATAAATAAAACAATAAAGTTTGATGGCAGTATTGGGAAAGGCTTGACAACTTTACAAAGGCTAACGGAGATAAAAAGCTAGGATATGCTACGAGACTCACTCTTGACAATAACTTTGTATTCACCAGTGCCTGGATGTTTGAAAACTTCCACTTGGACGTTGAGATAACCACAAGACTCGTCCGGCAAGATTGAGTCTACGAAAATGAAACAAAAAAGTAATAACGACATTTTTTTCTCTATTTCCCCCTTATACTTAAAAAATATTGCAGGCTAATAGGATCAAGTTAAATTATTATAAATAAATATTTGCGTTTGAGAAGTATGACGTCACGGTTTCGAAGTCCATTAGTGCACATGCCACTTGTGAAATGACCGACCCCACTAGTCAAGTCTGGCCGGAAAAGGAAGTGGTGGAAACGGATTTACTCAATTAGAGGGACACAATGACTCTATTTCTCTCGCAAAGACAGTTATTGCTTTGGGAGTTGCTTGAATAATTAGTCCTAACTGCCACCCCCACTCATTCCTATAGAATGAAACTTGATATTTCATTTCTGAACTCATTTCTATTTTCTATTTCTTTAAAATAGCTAAATTAAAACATATCACATATTGATGAAGTCACGTTTACACATGGGGTAATTAAACTGATTTCAGAATCAAGCATATCCTAAATTAATGGTGTCCGCAATTATGACTGTACCCAAAATATGAACCTCCGACGTGACATAATCTTTGAGTAGGGCATCGGTTGTTTGCGAATAAAGAGCAAGCGCCTGTTGAAGATTGTGCAACTCCGGCGATTTTTGTAGGAAAGAACGCTTGAGACCACGACCACCAGCATGGAAGTAAATTTGAACAGTCTCCAGACAACTTTGAAGCAATTCGCACTGATATGGCGTCAATCCCCTACTTCCCACACCGCCAACACCCTCTGAAACTCCACCTGCGATATCCTGTATTTCGCGAAAAATGAATTCTTATTTATTAATTAAAAGCAATAAAGCAAGCGCTATTGCAAATAACTTGTTTACCTGAAGGAGTTTGGCAGCTGCCGCATTTGTTGATACGTGGCTCAATAAACTCTGCGCTCCACCAAACAATTTGGCAGATTTCGCACCCATTGGATGAGCTAACCCTCCCGCCTGAGACTACAAATCAGATTTATATCACAAATATCCTGCTAGAGAAGACATCCCAAGTGGTGGAAAAAAGATCTCTCACCTTATTAACATCAGAAACGCCGGGTAAAACTACAAGCTTTTCAGTGTTTTCCATAGTTATCCGCCAAAGATCCTTTAAGTCAGGAGAAGAATAGGTTATCAAATAGAGGATACAAATTTACTTTTAATGGGTACGATTTTTTACCTTAAGAAGGCGTTTGAGTACAGTCTTCTCACATGCATTGGCTTGAGCAGATAGTACCAGCTCAAAGTAATCCATAAGTGGTCGCAAGCAGTTCTCGCAATCAGCTTCCATATGCTCAGCACTAATTCCACTTCCAGAAGTCTCTTTACACTTTAAGAGAGAGCACAAATATAGATCATCTTATAGAATATATTGGAACAATTCAAAGCGAAGGCACTGCGACTTACACCCTGCAGCAAACGCCCCATTTCAAGCACATTTCTTCGAATATCCTCCTCGAATTCAATTGCAAATGAGGAAACGAGTCGATCCACTGCATTTTTCAAACATACTTGCAATTCTGTTAGTTGTTCACGAGTTTCTTTATGAAGATTGAAGCTATCACAAACGAGACGTACAAGTATTTAGTATTCCATTTCAAAAATATATTTTAAAAGTGGGATATTTAGAGATCATACTCAGCTCCTTCCATTGCTTCATAAACCTTTTCTAATTGGACTCGTAATTGTTGTGTATTGTTGATCAATATACAGGCGATTCGAGTGTCACTCTTGAATTGGGCAAAGTCTTGCTGTACACTCTCTGAGTATGCCAATAGAACCTTCTCTACCGTCTAAGCAGGAAAATAAATGTAGGTAAAATTTTGAAAGAAGTCAGAAAATAAAATTTTAAGAATTAACTTCACCTGAGCAAATCTGTGCATAAAGTTAGCTTCTACACTTCGATCTGGACATTCTAGTTTCCGAATAACATCAAAGCACTGATTTAGTTGGGTGAAAACATCCACTACAGAGTTTGAATAGAGCGCATGTTCACTGGACCGTTGGAAACCATCTCGTTTATCTCGTTCATATGCGTTTCGAAGGTAGTTTTCTGATACTTCATCATTCTCGCCTAACCACAGCATCACAAGAGGCTCAAACCATCTGCAAAATGAAAAAAGATGCTGAAGCAAACACAACCATTACAATATTATCAGGTGAATATTCTAAAACCTGTTGTGTACGATATACTTATCTTCACGTGTTACACCTTGGGCAATGTATACTCATACAACAAATAAGTCTATAAACCACCATTTGATGCCAGACAACTATGACCCGACTGTATGTCCTATTCGCCCACTTCCACAGAACTACCTTACCTGTCTCTCTACCTTTGTGTCTGGCTCCTACATCTGTGAATCACTCTTCTGTTCCCCACCCCTCAAATTTTTTGAGACTTTGATAATCATCCCCTCTGTGAAGCCCAAAGTCAACTAAAGGACTAAGCATATTTATCATTAAGCCTGTCATTCGATATAAATAGGTATCCTTAAACCTACTTGGGATACTCAGGTTCGTTGTCTTTGCCGCCCTTAAGACTAGGTTTGACATAGGTGTTGTAGAACCATTTAATTCGGAAGCAGAGGTTGAGGTAGTCGGAGGTCTTAATTCTGGCTTTGGAAAGCCGAGTGGTAGTTATCTGCTCACCAGCTTGTTCAGGTGTGGCAGTCACTGTAAAGCGCTTGTGATTTATGGAGTTGGCCGTTGTGTTGGTTGGAGTGTTAGAAGTCAGACGCCGAAGAACTGCTTCATAATGTTGTGTTAAACCCACTGAGATATCCTCAGCTAAAAGGTTCCACATCATTTCTGCCGATAAATCCCCCAGATTGATGTCTTGTGGAAATCTGGAGGAAAAAACAGGGAAATAATACTGACGTGAATGAATTTCCCAAATGGGTGCTGATGTCTTGAATCAACAGCAAAGCCAACTTCCATAAGGAAACATTTGTCTAAACTATCTTAATCAGTGCCTACAGTGAGTATTTCACTACTTTGAACAGGAGTTAGATTACCACATCAAAGAAATATATTAATGCTTTAATAGTTTTCAAAAAGAAATACAGAGTCAGCTAACGGATTTCATTTGCCAACCATAACCTTATTGTAAGTTCTCAAAAAGGATAGCATACATTTGCTGTGACAGATGCACTAATGACTTTAATGGATTATGATGTATCACTATACTTATGTTACCGCAAAAGGTCAAATCTTTTCTCAACTATTTTTTACCTATATATGACTTCAATCAAATAGGTTGATCTTGAGAAAGCGCTCTTTTCCAGAAAGTCCTTACATTGCCTTCTTGGCAAGAAATGGAATTTCAATTCATTTAAAGCTTTACAGTTATTTCCTCATAAAAAATATAACTTGACATCAACAAAACCTCAGCTCTCTCTAGACTGCTTTCTATTCCATTTTCTACTGTTCGTAAAGACCTAAGTTTCATTAAGAATGACGTTATTTCAAGATTTCGTCTTATTCTCGCAATATGACACGCATTAGGAAGACTAGCATTTAAGAGAAATGAAGAAACTCACTGATTAAGTACAGGTGCATAGTGTTTTTTGTCATCCTCAATGACGGATACCATGAGGGATATGAGTTTGTGCCAATACGAAAGTGAGCGCACACCCAACACTGGGTCGATATCACATTGACAACAATCTGCGGTACTTCCAGACTTCTCACCTGGCAAACTCGTCGCGGTAGCATTGCCGCCATCCTACGGCAGAGTTAAAGACGGGCATCAGTCACACATTATTCCATGAATATTGTCAGATTCATTAAACAGTCATTTAAAATAGATTGCAAGATTATGCTAGCCATAGTCAGTGTAATCTGCATATGTTCCACCTATTATTGCACACTCCCTGATAGGCTCTAAGGTTTCATTTCGCACATCTTGATGGGTAGTGAGACTAGAGGCTCAACTATAATTCAGCTGATCAAAGGGTATTACCATTTACAGGCAGTACACTTAACCAACGGATTTCATTAGAAGCAGTAAATTTGAAGTCCACTATTGCAAATGCCGCTAAGAGTAGGATAGTAAGAAATGCGAGTCGTCATCCCTTTAATAGGGAGGGTTAAATACTGGTAGATAACATATTGAAAAGGGTTTGTATCTTCTTTAAGAGAGAAGCCAAATGAATTAGGGAGGGGTGATGAAGACAACCCCGAAAAACACAATAGGGAATTTAAATAAGTGATTGATCGTGGGTGCTTTAGGCGCATGCATGTTCATATTTGCTTTATCTGTGCTGCTAACAATCATGCTAGTCCGTTCGGATGCACTTGTCTACCAATAGAGAAGGCTAACACGAGAACGGTGACAATTGGCTAGTTCAGAGGGTGCACTCATCTTGCCACATAAGAGAGTTGTGACCACTGGATCACTTCCTTTCATCCTTTATACAATTCAAAGCTTTTAGGTCATTATTATTACCTTTTGTATGCAGTATGCAATTTATACTATTGGAAATACACTTGCCTTTTCAATAAGGCGTTCTTTAATTAAGTTATTTACACCACACCTATTAAAGAATATGCATTTGTCAAAATAGGAGGTAGATACTTTGCGAGTAGCAATGCTAAGACATACTGAAGCTTAATTTGTACCTGGTACACTTGCTAAAACGAATTAATAAAGCTGTCATCGACTCTGTGAATATATGACCTTCGGCGACCAATCGTATTATTTCACTTTAAATAAACAAGTAACTATATGAGAATAATTTCAGAATAAACAATGCGGTCAAAGTGGGATGCAACCAACCTGGAAATTTCCACCATAGAGTGTCTGGACGTTATCGGAAAGACATTCGTAGGTGGCCTTCATGCAGGCACGGATACACTCACGCAGAACTTGTAACGTCCTTGGCGGAGCCGCTAATTCTTGCACCTACAAGTGACCACAATAACAAGTTAATGTACATGTATTAAAAGAGCAATGATTTTGCACAAGCATACCTTTAGACGGAAAAAGGTGATGCTGGTAAGAACATCGACAGTAGATTTCATATCTGTGAGTCGTTCGGGTTGAGAAACAGGGAATACGGTCTTTTAATAGAAAAAAACATTACATAATGACTTTGTAACAATCTATATACTTAACAGGATTATCCATAAAGTACTTACCCGATATTTTGAAAGATCTATTCGTAGAGCATTGTGCAGATTATCAAGAATCTTCACGAATTTCTCCCTCTATAATGACCAGTTAACCACTTAAGTAACAAAAACTTCGAGACAAACAAAAATCAACATTGGCGCACATGTTTAAGTACAATACATAGAATTTTGAATATGATATCGAAATATTTTAGGCACGCGTTTTGAAGGTAGAGTTTGAAAACCAATCGATTATTTCCTGAGAGTGAAGCGGGCAGTAGGGTTCCCATTTCTGATGTCCTATCGATATCTACGAGTTATATTGAGTAATAGCTAACATCTCCGACCCATTATTTTTATATTTATTTAGAAAATACAATAAAATATTGCAAATCTTTGGCCTATGTCTAACTAATTATCCAATAATTTCTAAGATTTGATAATGCACAAGAAGTTATTTGAAAGTATTATTAATAAAAAGCAAAATATTAATGTTAAGACGCTCAGACAGCA